AGTTACTATACACGATCCAGCAATTCCACTCCTACATACAGTCAAGAGAAGTAAGACGTATCCAAACAAAATTCTGTACGTGAATGGCCATTGGCAACATTATTCACTCTAGCCAAAAAGTAGAAAGAACCCAAACATTCCTCAACTGATGAGTGGGTAAAAATAATGTGATATACCCATAAAATGGAATATCTGATAATAAAAAGAAATGAACACAGAGAAGGAAACCAATCAACAAAACTAACAGGCAACCAACAGAATGGGAGAAGATATTTGCAAATAACATATCAGATAAAAGGTTAGTATCCAAAATCTATAAAGAAATTAACAAACTCAACACCCAAAAAACAAATAATCCAGTGAAGAAATGGGCAAAAGACATGAATAGACACTTTTTCAAAGAGGACATCCAGATGGTTCACAGACACACAAAAAGATGTTCAACATCACTCATCATCAGGGAAATACAAATCAAATCCACAATGAGATATCACCTCACACTTGTCAGAATGGCTAAAATGAACAACTCAGGAAAGAACAGATGTTGGCAAGGATGCAGAGAAAGGGGAACCCTTCTGCACTGTTGGTGAGAATGCAAACTAGTACAGCCACTCTGAAAAAGTGTCGGCTCCTCAAAAAGTTAAAAATTGAACTACCCTATGACCTAGCAAATGCACTACTAGGTATTTATCTAAAGGATACAAAAATGCTGATTTGAAGGAACACATGCACCCCAATGTTTATCGCAGCACTATGAACAATTGCTCAAATGTCCATCGACTGATGAATGGATACAGAAGATGTGGTATGCGGTGGAATACTACTCAGCAATGAAAAAGAATGAAATCTTGCCATTTGCAACAACATGGATGGAACTAGAGTCTATTATGCTAAGTGAAATAAGTCAGTCAGAGAAAGATATTGTATGATTTCAAATGTGGGATTTGAGAAGCACAACCAATGAACATAGGAGACGGAAAAATAAGACAAAAACAGAGAGGGAGGCAAACCACAAGAGACTCTGAAATACAGGGAACAAACTGAGGGTTGCTGTGGGGAGAGCAGGTGGGAGGATGGGTTAAATGGGTGATGGGCTCATCACTTGGGATGAGCACTGGGTGTTATATGGAAGAGATGAATCACTTCAGGGTTCTGCTCCTGAAGCCAAGACTACACTCTATGTTAACTAATTTGAATTTAAATTGTAAAAAAAAAGAAAAGAAAGAAATGAAGTACTGATACATCCTACAACATGGATGAATATTGAAAACATAATCTACATGAAAGAAACCAGTGACAAGAGATGATATACTCTATGATTCCATTTATATGAAATGTCCAGAAGTAAATCTACAGAGACAGGAAGTGGATTAATAGTTGGTTAGGGCTCAGAAGTTGGGGGGAAATGAGGAGGGACTATTAATGAGTATGGCGTTTCTTCATGGAGTGATGAAAATGTTCTAAAATTGACTGTGGTGATGACTGCACAACTCTGTCAATACACTAAAAAGCACTGAATTGTACAGTTTAGGTGAATTGTATGATATGTGAATTTTATTTCAGTAAAGCCGTTAGCAAATAACATCATTTCTGGATGGTGAATTTTTATTTTCTTACTTACATCCTTTTGTAATTTATAAATTTTTGGTATGACTAAAACTATTATTTTTTTAAGTCAAAGGGAAAATTAATTATTTTTCAAAGTTCTCCTTGTGAGAATTATAATGATATTATACTGGGGATTGAGAGGAAGTTGCCACTTGGATTCATTTCATTATTCATTCTTTAAAAAAAATTTTTTTACACATTTATTTATTTTTGAGAGACAGAGAGAGACACAGCACAAGTGGGGGAGGGGCAGAGAGAGAAGGAGATACAGAGTCTGAAGCAGCCTCCAGCCTCCAAGCTGTCAGCACAGAGCCCAATGCGGGGCTCAAACAAACTGTGAGATCATGACCTGAGCTGAAGTCAGATGCTTAACCAACTGAGCCACCCAGGCGCCCCTAATTATTCATTCTCTAAACACCTACTATGTGTTCCAGGAATTGTCCCGGCATGAGAAAAGCTCTAACTCCAAGTCAATAAATTACATCAAGTTAATACAGATAAGACTCCTCTATTAACTTCAGAAGATAAATTATACATCAATACCATCACTGCTTTACCTGCTTTAATATAACCAAAGGTTATATTCAATTATGTTAAAAAGTATCAGGAAATTCCCTCTTCATTAAAATAATCTGTTTCCAAATTTTAAAACTCATTTTAATCGAAAAACAACAACAATGCAACACTTCATAGTTTGATATAAGAAAAGACATACCAAAAATTCAGTTAGCAACAAGGGGTAATAGCTCAAAAACAATGAGAACCATTTCTTTAAGCTACTTTTTTGACTATCAGGGTAATCATAACAAGAATTTTTATGTAAACTTTTACCAAGATTAAAACAAGTCAAAAGAATTCCTTGGAAACAGTTTGTCCTGAAGTTGAACATAGACTGAAAATGCGGAAGAGGAGGAATGGGCTATTTCAAGCAATGGGTTATTTCAGCGACATCTGGCTAACACCCATCAGCTAAAAACTAAATAGTGAATCAATCTCCAGGGATAGTAATATCAAAAGGTGCTGGCAGAAGTGGCCTCATCTAAATTCTTAATTAGGAGAGTAAAACAAGGCATCGGTATTTTGAAAAACTTCCCTGGCTCTATATTAAGTGCAGCCAGGCTTAATAATCATCACATGAAGCAATACTCCTCAAAGGAAAACAAAAAAAGACAAACCTGTTCTATAATTTAAATATTAGAGACAATGTAGCAAATACTTTGGAGGGAGAAAAACTTGAGAGCAAGGAGACTACATACACTAATGATACTCCAAAAGTCTAGTGGAGACATGTGGGCTTAAACCAGGGAAGCAGAAAGCAAAATGGCTCGGGTCAAGCCTATAAAATAGAAACTACAGAACGTAACGACCAAATGGTTGTGGAAAATGAAGGGGGAAAAAAAGGCAAAAGTGACTCCAAGGTCTCAAACAGTAACCAGATTGCCAATGATGCCATTAACCAAAGAATGGAAGATAAAAGAGAAATTAGTTTGAAAATTAAAGAGTTAATACAGAAAAGGTTCAAGGGGCTGTAAGGTTTTGTAATGTTATTTGTAAAGTTCTACTAAAGTTGGATTTTGAGCACATCTACTAAAATATTTTGTAATGTTTACTAAAGTTGGATACTATGCACATTCGTTTTACTATTCTTTAAAAATTGAACAAATATCACAAATTCAAGTCGAAACAAGGAGTCAAAAACTCCTATGTGTCATATAGTAATAATGAAAAACATAAAAAAAAAAAAAAAAAAGGAAAGTGGAGGTAGTAAGTTTGGTTTTGGACCTACTGAATTTCCTGAAACTAAAGAACTATATCACTCATGAGACCGAAGTTACAGGAAAAAACAAGAGAAATTACATAAGTTTGGAAATGGCTAGCATACAAAGATAATGCCATAAAAGCCATGGATGTAGATAAGGATTCTCAAGGAGAGACTGTGAAAGGCCTTTTGGGTTCCAGGAATGGCAAAGAACCAACAAAAAGTAGTCAACTAAAAAAAACTGAAAATAATTACCAGGGATAGAAGCCCTTACGAATTCCTTTCCCTCTCCAAAAGCATACAGAAGAAAATCAATTTTTTTTAAAAGCTACCACTTATATTTATCTTAGTAAATTCCAGTGGCAGATCCAGAATTTCCAGTTAGGTGGAATTAAAGGAAAGATCTTTTAGAAGAAGGGCTTGAAGATGCTTTTATTAAATTAGAAAATACTAACTGACCACATGAAAACATCGAGAGAAAGAGTTTTAAGGGAAATAATTCCTCTCCCCTTTGGCACCAACACTTCTATATTCTAGACACTGCCTAGAATAGTTCACCTAATCTTTCATCTCCATAATAAGTTATTAGTTAGATGAGGAAACTGAGGCTGGATTGGACTAGCAACCTCCTCAGGCTCACAGATCCCCCTGAGCAATCTCATCTGTGTTCCCTTAGCTGTCAAGGCTCTTTATAACTTTCTAGACTTTCTCATTACTCATCTTGCTCTACTGTTAGCTCCTCAATGACAGTATTTTGTGTCATTAATTTCTGTATCCCTACAGATAGGAATAAGTAAATATTCTGCTGAATTAAGCATATGAAAGAACTAGGTGAGAAAAGCATCAAGAAAGCCAAGAGGGGAAAGAGTTTCAAGAAAGTGTCAAATGTACAGAGAGAGCAATCAGTATACCTGAAGTCACCACTGGCATTGAACTGATATCCCGTATTATTTACTGAACGCCTACTATATGCAGTACAATATGTTAAGCACAAAGGACAAGGAAAAATAAAATCTGGTACACGGCAAAGGTTTTCGGAGAAGTAGCTACATCTAAATTCTTCATCAGGAGAGCAAAGCAAAGAGCCAGGCCTGTAATTGCCTACATCTAATTTGGCTCGGGTAAATCTGGACAACTTAAAAGGGTCACAGTGCATCCTTTAATAAAACTTCTGACAGGGCACACGACAAGAAAAAGGGCCAGTGCACCTTAGTCTCGGTGATGAGAGTCGATGGCCAGAGAAGCCGACTCTTTCTGGAGTCTCTAGCCCCCAAGCCGAAATGAGACTGCCCCTAGCTGCCAGTCCGTGGTCGGGGGCGGGAAAAAGCAAGACACTTACCGCAAAAGGCACCGCTATCGCTGTGGCCCAAAGGGCCGGGGATTCCTTCGCGAGGCCCCTGCGCCGTGGGAGGAAACCAAGAAAAGCAGGGATCAGACAGACAGGTGCGATCCCACAGCCCGACTTCACAAACTATACAAACTAGGGCTCCAGCGCCCAGCACCGCGACGCCAACTCCCACCAGCTGGAAGACCGACGATTGCCACCGAACCTTCCGCCCAATGGGGAAACGTCACCACTCGGCGAAGTCCAGCCTCTCATGAAAAGGATACACTTCCGCTTCCGGGGCACCTGCCGAGTTCTTTCAGTGTTTTTACTGAAAGGGTTTATTGAGATGTTTCTTTGCTTCGACTGGCTTTTGGACATTCCGTTTCCTATTGCCCAATCACTGCGGCAGCAAAGTGGCAAGGTAGGATGCTCTCTAAGGATGCGATCTCGGGAAAGAATTCCGGCCTCGAGAAGTCAGCTTAAGAAAAAGTGACTGGACTGTGCACTGCCAGCTGAGACGGGAATAGTGAGAGATGGAGGTGCGATTCAAAGTAGGGTTTCCTCCCCAGGCGCATGTGAGAACACCAAAAAGGGGCGGGGCTTAGGGATTTCGCTGCCTAGCGAGGCGGGTTCCGCGGTGTCGGATGTGGTGTGTAGACAGCTCTCCGCTTGCGCGTGCGCACTACGAATCTTCACTGGTGGTGGTTTCTGCTCTAAGATGGAATTCCGCTCCGCGCGCCAAGCAATAATGCAGCTGCTACATACTGTGGCTCCGGCAGACCTCCCAGCGCTGCTCGAGTGGATGAGAACTACCCGTAAGCGACCAGAGCCATACCCAAGTGGTTGGGGCAAGGATAGGTGCTGACCTTGGGGACCTAAGACAGCATGAGGCCGAAAGCCTCCTAGGGGTCGCTGTGCTGGTCTCTGCTCTGCTATAGGAGAGGCTGACGGGGGGCACAGCTCAAAGCTTAACAGGTTCAGAGTCCAGTTTGGAACAGGGTGCAGGAAGACCTGGCTCTGGGTTGTATGTGATTGTGCTGCAGACTTCAGGCAAGCCACTAGAGGCTCTTTTCTGAAGGAAAAGAAGGCGTGGAGGGTTTCGCCCACCCCACCGCCATTACTCCCACGAATTTGTGATTACCAGGAAGGTTAGTTACTACCTGAAGAAGCACTTTGCAAAAGATGTTTCATGCTGTGGGGCAGGAAGCTTTTACCCTGCAAGCAAAATTACCTGTAGCTAGTGCAATGATTTCCGCAATTGTAAAATGGACCATCAATTTAACAGCAGTTTTTTCGGGGCGAGGGAAGGGAGAGAGTGGGGGTGACGTTTTTGATTTTAAGCTGTTCATAAAATTAATAATACAAAAAAGCACAACTTAGAATCGGGGAAATGTGGCGATTAGGTCAATTTATTGAAGAATGGTTAGATCTGGTTTGGCAAAGTGAAGCCTGTTGAAAGCAAAGATAATAGGATATTCCTTGTTTGAGAACAATGCCAAAAAAAACCATGCTGCCTCTATACCTCTGAACATTGATTCCCATGTTTATTTTCATCCAGACTCAATGACTTGAAATATTCATGTGTGCTAATAACTTCCAAACTTGACTTCTTCCTAGAACTCTCTTTCTTTGTGATGCTATTAGTCAGTAGGTTTGGGTATTTTTATTATTATTACACATTTGGGGGGATCATTTCAGATGCCAAACTGAAATTAACTTGGAAAACTGTTCGTGAGTTAGCTTGGAAAGTAGAGAAAACCAGACAGGTAGATTCAATATAGGAATTGCTGAGTCAAAATATGCTGAGTCTCCTCATTTAAATCTTGTATTGCCAGTTTTATCTATCATATCCCAATTGATTATAAAACAGTAGTAGTTTCTGTTTGTTTTTTTCTGCATTCTTCAGCACATCTTTTATTCCCAAAACCCCGGAGAGCCTACAAAAATGCCACCTACTGCCTGGTTCTGGCATTTGCACTAAGATATTCTTATCCTCAAGAGTTCAGTCTTGTGGAACCATTTGTAATCTAAATCTCCAGTTTTAGAGATATCAGTTGAAAACTCCATTTTTCAAAATCAGGAAAACTTGCAAGCGTGTTTTGGGTGATAATTTTGTAAACAAGAAGACCCAATGTCACTGGCTTTAGAGTACATTTTTCCTTTTTTTTTTTTTAATATTTTATTTATTTTTGAGAGAGATATAGAGACAGCTTGAGCAGGGGAGGATCAGAGAGAGGGAGGCACAGAATCTGAAGCGGGCTCCAGGCTCTGAGCTAGCTGTCAGCACAGAGCCCGACGCGAGGCTGAACCCTCTAACCGTGAGATCATGACCTGAGCGGAAGTCGGACGCTCAACCGACTGAGCCACCCAGGCGCCCCAATTTTTCCTTTTTTAAAAAGCTCTTTCTGTGCCTTTCTCCAGCAGATCCTGCAGTCAGAGTTGAAGCAATTTTTTAAATGATTTAGAAAACAACAATGAATTTTTGAGAATGTTTATTAACATGAATATTTACAAAATGAGGGTATCGCTTTGCTTTAAATGGAGTGTTTTAACATAAATCTTAAAAAACAACTTATTAGTATACCATTTTTAGGTGGTAAAATACACATAAGAAAAATTACCGTTTTAAGCTATTTTTAAGTGTACAGTTCAGTGACATTGCATACATTTACATTGTGCAACCATCACATCTATCTCCAGAACTTTCTCATCTTCCCAAGCTGAAATTCTAAGTATACTTTTTTATGAAGTGGCCCTAAATAGAGCGCAAAAGATTCTTTCAATCAACCATTTTTTATTTTCCTAATTCATTTCCTTCTTCTAGGAAAAAAATGATCTTTTATCTCTAGCATTAAGTCACTTGCATAATATGTTATTTGTATGACATTTTCTTAGACATTTAGTAAGTATAATTTCCTTGAATTTTTATAATATTCAGTGGAATAGCAAGAGACAATAATAGGCTTTGAGTATGGCTTTAGTTTTGAGTTTCATAGAGTTTATTGAAACTAAAAAGCATGCTAACAGATAAAATCATAATCGTTTTAGATACACAAAAGGAAAGATAAACTTTTTTAAAGTTTATTTGTTTTTGAGAGAGAAAAAGAATGAGTAAGGGAACGGCAGAGAAAGAAGAGGACAGAGGCTCCAAAGCAGGCTCTGCGCTGATAGCAGAGAGCCCGGCACAGAGCTCAGACCCACAAAGCATGAGACTATGACCTGACCTGAAGTCAGACACTTTAAAGACTGAGCCACCCACGCACCCCTAAATAATATTCTTGGTTCTGAAGGAATAGTGGGAGTATCACACCAAGACCTGCGGTCATTTAGGATCAGACTGGTAGCTTGGACCAGGCCAGAGCCAAGCACATGTCAATGCCTGATAAACTGAAGATATAGAAAAAATAAAGATGGGAGCCTACATTTTACCTTGGTACAGCTTAGACCAAAGATCTAAGAAACAAATGAATACCAATGTAGGAAGAATAAACCAAGTCTGAGGGGCAAAGATTCCCCCCCCCCCCGCAAATAAATAAATAAATAAATGGAGTGAAAAATACAGCAGCACCTCAGCTAATTGGTTCCTATCTTGTGGCAGAGCATCTCTTCTCTTCTATTTCCTGTATGTATATAAAGTGGGCTCTTGATCTAGATTTCCAAGTGTAGGAGAGTGACTAATCCATTAAGTGAGGAGAGCTGAGAGCCAGAACTGCAACTGGGACCCTCATTAAGCATATTAAAAAAAAAAAAAATACATTGAAACAGCTATCTGTTAACAAATGCTATTCTGAAGCCACCAAATTTTCTTGGATCTGTAAATACAAATGAGGAAGTCAAACGCACAGCCCAAAAGAGTTTCTATTAAGAGTCAAATTATAAAGGATAGAAAATTAGGTTTTGCTCTAAGAAAATTAACAAAATTATCAAGAAATATTTAATGCTTAAAGAAGATAACAGTAGGTGACTAGAAGCTTCACTGTATCCTATATTTTAGGTATATCTTAACGGACCAGAAGTGGACCTGTTTGTGAGCGGCAGCTACAGAGCTGTTAGAAGTTCTTTGAAATTCCCACAAATCTAAAAAGCAAAGCCTGGCTTATAGTTACATTTGTCAGACAGTATACCTCTTCAGTTCCATATTGCATTACCACTGAGGAAGTATCAATATAACAAAGATATTCCAATCTTTACTGAAACCAAATGAATTTATGAGGTAACAAAAATAATTGTTTTTTTCAAAAGCTAACAACGTGTACTCAGCAAATTGGTACCTCTTTTTTAAATTGATACCTCTTAAAATTTTTCTGTCAAATAAGAAGAATTATACTTTTGGAGCATCTGGATGGTTGGGACATCATCAGATGGGTTAAGCATCTGACTTTTAATTTTGGTGCAGGTCATGATCTCACAATTTGATTTGTGAGATGGAGTCAGCACAGAGTCTGCTTGGGATTCTCACTCCCTGCCCCTCCCCCATTTGCATGCACATGCACTCTCTCCCTCAAAATAAATAAACCTGAAACAACAACAAAGAAAGAATTATACTTTTCTCTCTAAAGTACTTTTGTCCTTTGGGTCACCTGGGTGGCTCAGTCAGTTGAGCATCTTACTCAGGGTATGATCTCACAGTCTGTGAATTGAAGCCTGGCATCAGGGTCACTGCTGTCATCACAGAGCCCACTTTGGATCCTCTGTCCCTCTTTCTCTCTCTGCCTCTCACTCCCTCACACTCTCCCTCTGAAAAATAAATGAAACATTTTTTAAAAAGAGAGGATAAAGTACTCTTGTACTTTAATATATTGTTGTCTTTAAAATGAGCATGATATATAAAAAGGATAATATAATACATCATGAACAAGTGGGTTTATCCCAAGAATGCACTATTAGTTTAACATTATAAAATCAGGGGCGCCTGGGTGGCTCAGTCAGTTAAGTGTCTTGACTCTTAATTTTGGCTCAGGTCACAATCTCACGGTTCAGGAGATCAAGCCCTGCATCGGGTTCCACACTGACAGCACAGAGCCTGCTTCGGATTCTCTCTCTCTCTCTCTCTCTCTCTCTCTCTCTCCCCCCCCACTTGTGTGTTCTCTTTCCTCTCTCAAAGTAAACGCTTTTTAAAATAAATGAATAAAACATTATAAAATCTATGTAGTTCACCATATTCAGTAAAAAGGAAAACTATTATTATCTCAATAGACCAGGGAAAGCATTTGACACTAACACCTCTTCCTGATAATAGCCCTCATCAGACTAGGAGTAGAAGGGAACATTATCAACCTGATAAAGGGCATCTGTGAAAAATCTACAGCTAACATCATTCTTAAGAGAGGGAGGACTGAGTTTTTTCCTCTAAGATCAGAAATGACAAGGATGTGCACTCATCACCACTATCCAACATCATAGTACAGCTTCTAGTCAGTACGATATGGCAAGAAAAAGGGGAGGAGGGAGGCATTTCAATTAGGAATGAGCGAATGGATGAACAAACTGTGGTATATTTTTATAATGGAATACTACTTGGCAAGTAAATGGAAAGAAG